TCTCCTTCCTTTTATATATTTCCTTTCTATCTTCTCTTTGTCCTGTAGTCTCTCTACGCTGCCTCTTGACAATATCAGACAATATCTTCCATTTCTATTGATACTGGTACTTTGAATAGCACGGTAATCGTCTGTGTGTATCTGATGACCTTAGCCTTGGTAGCACTCCACAGGAGACTGAGATAGTCATCTCCCTTCTGAATAGTCAGGATGAATAAAAGCTATATATACTGTTCCTTATTCACAGTCGTACAAATGCGTGAGCGAGAGCACGTGCACGCTTCACGAACAAAGACAGAGTAACATGCACAGACCAGGTAACAGCTTGTAGGGATCACATATATCACACACAAGTAGGTCAATTAGTCTTTTCTGACATGTAATAATATCATTAAAATTAATATGACTAAAAATAACCACTGGGATTTTCTCACCTGCAGTGAAGAACATTTGGTCTGGTCTAGAGAATACATGTCATTTAGTAATATTTATTTCTGTTCCAGTTCAGTCTTTTTACAAGTAATACATAAAGATGAGTAAACATAAAGTTATTCTGACTGACATGTAATGTATTTATTGGACGGTTTTGGAGATTATCATCCTGCCTAATCAGGACCAACGTGGGAAAATCTAATTTGATTATGAGCATATTTAGTATTATAATTAACAGCATATTATGAATAATTACTCACAGGTAGAGAGCAGATAAACAAATATCCCTCCCTACTGTCCTAGTGTTGTGTGGCTCAGTCTAAGCCACTTTGTTTACATTGACAGAGCCATGTACAAATCAAAGTACAAATGATTTCACTGACTGAAAATCCTTCCTTAATATTAAAAACTACAGATTCAGTTCTGTATATCTTCTGACATCAAAACCACTTCATGTTAATTATCACACTAACTGATCTAGAAAGAACAGGCATCCTATTTTTCCAAATGCATATCTCAGGGAATGAAAACCCCTTGAATATGAATGTATTTCCACTACATTTCTCATTGCCTGTTGGGAGATAAACCAGCGCTCAGATACCCGTGAGATGTCTGTCCGGCTTTGGCTAAGACACACACACACACACACACACACACACACACACACACACACACACACACACACACACACACACACACACACACACACACACACACACACACACACACACACACACACACACACACACACACACACACACACACACACACACACACACTGGAGATATAGAGGGGAAGCTGATCAGCCGCATGGAGCGGGAGGCCATTCCAATGGGACTAATTAAAGGGAAGGAACAGACTGCAGAACTCATCGGAGACCACCACTCTTTCTCCAGCTCTACCCCTCTCTCCTCTCGCTCTTCCTTTCTCTTTCACTGTTTTCCGTTAATGAAAGCTACATCATCCAGGGTTATAGGATCCAATGCTGCTTTCTATACGGGTGGATATGATTAGAGGAGTTCTACCTGACGTCTACTTCCTGAAGGGGCTGCTGGAGACATTTCCGAACATGCATGGGAATAACATGCTTCAGATGTAAACACATGCAAACACAATTGTTTTTCAGCAGTCTCATTAGATCAGTTTGAAAGTTCTTTAGGCTTATTAAAGCATGAAATCACTGTTGTTTTTTTGTTTCTATATGAGAGGTTGTGCCGACGTGTGAGTGTGTGTGTGTGTGTGTGTGTGTGTGTGTGTCACCATCGGCTCTTGAGTTTGATACTGATGATGTAGTCAAACTGCTTAGATGCTATTGATCAGGACCCTGTGTACCTGAGCAATCACACACACACACACACACACACACACACACACACACACACACACACACACACACACACACACACACACACACACACACACACACACACACACACACACACACACACACACACACACACACACACACACACACCTCCTGATCTCTCTCTCTCTCTCTCTCTCTCTCTTTTCCCGCTCCGTTCTGAATTCATTTCTGTACCGCACACCCACTAATTTCTGCGGCAGACAGACCAAACAACCAGCCAAAATGAAGTGGCACTGCATCATCACAAACACTGCTGTGTGTCTAAATGAGCTGAAGAGGCAGCAGGCTGCTTCTCTGCTTTGTCTCCTTATCATTTACTACAAGCAGAGCATAGATGTGGACAGGAGAAATGGGTGAAGAGGGGGAGGGAGGGAGGGAGAAGAGGAAATAGGAATGAGGATAAATGGGAGAAAGGGCAAAAAGCGACAATAAAACGGAGATGTGTATGATTCTGTGTGTGTGTGATGCCCTCTAAACACAAAAAGCCTTGGCTCAGCCGGTCTGGCTTTGCAGTTCCTCCCAGCTCTTCAAATGCATGGCTATATGTAGTCAGATGACTCACACAACCAACTCAGAACTCAAGCCAGGGTTTAACACACACTTCCTCATGGCAAAAACACTCTCTCACACACACACACTAATGTGACTATATACCCACACGCATTTGAAGATATAATCACATCAGCACATATACTGAGACCCAACCAGCCGTGTGTATAGTCTCATCTGCACCAAGCTAATCTGCACAGACTCTCTCACAAACCTCGAAAGGTTGTTTTGTTTTACTTACATCATCACATGTCTGCTCAAAAGTATTTTACAAGAATCTTTTTTTCTTTTCTTCACATTTGCTGGCTTAAGAGAAAAGTCAACCATTATAAAAAGTAATAGAGAATCATTTAAATGTACAGTTGACCGCAACATTTAAAATGCACATTTCCCTCGTACCTGCTAATTATCAATCCTTAATGTTCTGATGTGAGTTGCAGAGTCTTGGTGATATTGGCCTTGCATATGCCTGCTTTCTTCTGAAGAATGGAAGTAAATGGCACTTTTGTTGTTATGCTCAAAGCGGCAAAATATTACAATTTGAAAAACTTAACAGGGGACATTTCTCTTTCCAAAAATCATGTCCAGGTTACACAAGTTAATCTATTATTGATAACATCTATGAAATATATATTCTTTTTTTTACCAAAACTACACCCAGAAAACCAAATCACTGCGCAGAAGAATGCTTGGCTCTACTAGTAAGTGAGAGGCTCGTTCTTACTTAATGAAGGGTGTAGTATGTTAGAAAGAAAATGGTTCCTCAATTTTGGGGAAAACTGTGTTTTTAACATTGAATCCAATTTTGAGTTCTTCTATTGTATCAGATTATGGTCTTTAGAGTTCCTTGCAGTGAGAGATTTAAACCTATACCAGAAAGAAAAGGGGACAAAGCAACAACATGCTCACTCCAATCTGAGAAAAAGCTCCCTGTCGAGACATAAAAAGACAGAAATCAACTCTTGGAGGTGCAAAGACATTAAGGTTTTACAAACCAGAGTAGTAGTTGGATTTAAATAAAGGGTTCTGTGTTTCTACATCCTCCCAACCACTTAAATATACCTAGTTCCTTTCACATTTTTAAGTTCACATGACAGGTTTCGGCTTAAATGGGTTGTTACGTTCCTCTTCATGTTGTTCTTTACTCTCAGACATTTGCTTTTGCTCTGCTAGCCTCCTGCAGTTATTTATTTACACACTTAAACACGTATACAAGCTTACTCACAAAGACAGTTTCCTCGGTGGAGAAAGAGTTTGTTTGTATTCGGAGCACTGAGTGGGACAGAAACTTCCACCACAGACAAAGTGCTTTAATCATATGCATCCCTGCTCACCACTGCGATGCAAACACCTGCCAGCATTTGCACATCTGCATCCGACCTAGAGTTATATAATACAAATGTTACATTTAATATGAAAAGTATAATGAAACATAATACTGGTTGGTATTCTTTTTTATTACAATATGTTGATTTAATTTTCTTGAGAAAACTTTCATTATTATGAGATTAAAGTTTTTATTATTAGAAGGTTTATTTCTTGTTTGTGAGGTTTTTGTGTGCAAACTAAAGCTTTGCACTGTTTTGGTTTGGATTACAGTCCTCTTCACTCGACATATGTTGTCTTTTAGCAACTATCTAAATACGCAAACACAAACAAAGTAGGTAATCACTGGATATAACTATGTGGGCTTGATTATAAGAAATTGGCTTATCCGTGTTTTTGACGTTTTCTGTTAGCTGCCAAGATAGAGAATCAAACGGAGTTTCCAAAGTAATGTTTTCTCTCTCCCCGTCTTTCCCTCTCTCTCTCTGAGTCACTCACCATATCCCCTTCTGTTTGAATGTTTTTGCAGTAAACAATCATTTTCCCTGAGTAAATATATTATTTGTTTTCAGTTCGGTGCTCTATGGTTTGTGTGAATGTTGTTTGTGTCTTTAAGTTTAACATTGAACAGGTTGTCTAACATTTGAGCATTTAGGCTTTAACAACATTACATGTCTGCAGCCATGCAAACATATCTGTTAGGCTGTGATAGCTTAATGCTAAAATGCCCACTATAACAAAGCTTATATAACATTTACTGTACCATGTTAACAATCTCAGTTCAGCTTGTTAGCATTCAAACATTGGCTAATTTACACTGAACACAAAGAACAGCTGAGGCTTTTTCTAGTTTTTCATGTATTTATTCATACATCAATTAGTTTCTTTATTTTTCCCTCATGGTGGCGCTATTTTAAAAGTCACTGGATCACCAAAATTAATTTCATTTGATTTAATTCACAAATCCATTCAATTGTTGTTAAGACATTTCTCTCACATCTGCAAAAGTCAAGCTCATTGTAGCTTTAGAGGAGAGATCAGGGCATGGCTTACATTATGAGTATTCATCATATGGGAAGGAATCATGAAAGTCTGTTCCAAATGTTTTCCTAATCCATGTAGTAGACATGGAGATATTTCACTCGACAAGTTCAATCCTTGATAGATTACCAAAATCGTCAGGATTGATCTTGGTAGCATGTCTTAAATCCAGTAATTGTGAATAATCTGTGCTCACATACCAACAGTTGATAAAGGCATGTGTACAGTACACAATCTTTTATTGAGTGTGTGTTCTCTAATGTTTGTTTCTCTTTCTCTTCGGCAGAATGCGGGAACGGGGCCCTTGCATTTGTGGAGTGGGGGTGTGGAGTCTACTGCTGTCCCTCTGTCTGGCCTCCCTCACACAGGCACACAGGAGCCACACAGGTACTGTAAGCCCAATCATGTGTGTGTGTGTAGTACATCATCCTCTCACTTGGGTGATGCTTTGTGCAGCATTCACGGTATTGGATCTATCATGAATTACCACAGCAGGCAGCCTCTGCAGCCAATTTCTTTTCAAGTTTTGTAAAGTGAGAGTGAATAGGCCGTGTGCCACCCGAGGGAATGCAGAGGTTGGATTCACAACAAAATACGAGACCACGGAGGCTAGTTGCCAGGAAGAACGCACAATAAGTTATTTAATGAAAAGAAGGGGAATGCGAGTAATCCGACAAGGAAGGTCTTTTCAGTTCAGGGGATTTCACGTCTTTTCAGTCCCCGTCAGAGTGGGGCGTCTTTCCAAAATGCCCGTAGGTTACAGCACTGAGTCTTTTGGATTACAAATCCCTTGCTGTGTGAGCCCCCCCCCCCATTAAAGCCAAGGAGCTGAGTCACAAGCGTGATTGAGCCCAGAGGCGGGGTATCTTCGCCTCTTTGCTTTACAATGATCACCTGTGTGTGACACTGAAAATTACCTTGCCCCGGGGGAAAAAGCATGACGTACCTGCTGCCTGTCTATGAATACAGAGCTTTTATCAAATTTATTTTAAGAAGACTTTCCAGACATATTTAGTCAATGAGGATGGTTTGAATCAAACCAAATGTATTGTCTTTATTATTTAAAAAAACACATTTTCTTAAAAATAAAATGTGGTTGTCCGTCAAGTGTCCTCTTTTCTGATGTCTACAAAGATGCACACATTTGGAGCACTAGGGGTTGCAAGATGTCAGTCTACAAGTTGTAAAGGTTAATGCCTCGGTAAAAGACGTGGTAAACACTGCTCTTCCTCGTGGAGCAAAAAGGAGATAGACCCAGGGACGTGAGTAACATGTTAAATCTGACCAAAATAAGTAATGGACAATGACAAAATCGCCTAAGGATACAACCAGGAAGTGATGACTGTGAATCTCGTCTTTGGTTTGACGGTATATGAAGGGCAGTGATGGCTTGAAAATGTTAAGCTCTGCCTTTGGCTTTCATGTCTTGATAAAGTGACATGCACCAGCTGCCCTTCATCTGAACTGGTTGTCTTTGACATTGTTGTTGCCGCGCGTCTCACGTCACTGACGCTAAAGATATTTATACTGCAGTCAGTGAATTGTGTGTCTGAACATCTGCCTCGTACCGATGTTCCATTAGCGGGATGACTGAAAGGCAAAATGATTGATGAGTCTCTTCTTTAAATCTTTCTAAAAGAATGCAGCATCTGAGATGGATCGTGAGTGAATCCTTTGGCCTTCTGTGTGGAAATTGGGAGTTCCTCATAATGTTATCACTTCTAAGAAAATACAAGGTTTTTGTGTGAGTTTATGTGTGTGTCCTTGCTGGAATACAGCTACCTATAACAACAGCTTTGTGTGTGTGTGTATGTTATTTGTCTTTGTGTGTAAGATTGACTCTGCTGTTCCCTGGCTGCTAGGCATATTCTCTCACACAGAGATTTTAAACATGGCAAGGGCAAACATTTTCATAAATGGAAATACGGTGAAAAGGCAGAGAGAGGATGGAGATACATTCAGCAGTTTTTGTTTTGTGTCGTTAAAGAATCTCTCATGGTTATGGTGGGGTCGGTCTTTTAGTCGGACACGGTTATATGTGTGTGTGTTTGTGTGTGTGTGTGGGGGGGGGTGTTATGGGCACGTGTATCGCCTGAGTGCTCCCGTTAATGGGTGATTGATTGTAGAGTAAGTTGTAATCAGGGAGTTACAGCGTTATCCAGTTGCAGGTTGTCGAGAGGGGAAAAACAGACGAGTAATCAGATAATTACTAAATACAATCCCTTAGGTCACTCCAAGGTTGACACTCTCACCCTTATGTCACAAACTGTCTCCATCTCTTACACTCACATAAATGCTGGAATCCCCCCCAAAATGATTGTAATATATAAGACTGAAAATGAAGCTGATGAAAATGGAAGCAGTGTATGTTCTCTTTTAATGTTGAATATTTCCTGTTTTAGTTGTCCTGCCTTTTGCAGTGGAAAAGAGCTTAAGCTCCTGATCCCATGAGCATAGAATTGATTTATTTTTAATTTGTGGCCACATGCACAGACCATATGTGTGTTTGTGTGTTCTGGTTACTAACTCAAGAACTGTGTGCTAACAACTGACAGCTGTGGCGACCTCAGGAGGAAAGTGGAGGCGGTTTAGATGTGGCAAAAGAAGTCTCAGCATGTGTGTATGTGTGTGTGTTTGTCTGTGTGGGAATGTGTGTGTGCCTGCCTAACTTCTGCTCCCCTTTTATTCTCCAGATTTCTATCTCTCAGGCCAGAACAGAAAAATATGCCTCTCGTTTGCCATTGGTGCCTCTCCATCTGTTAAACCATCCATCCTCCTGTCTTATTCTCTTATTCCCATGCTTAATCATAGATCACTACAGAATTGTGTGAAAAAGATCAGGCTTTACACCCAGACCACAGAGCTCTAACACTCAGCGGAGTACAGATCTCCTAAAATGAAGAGATCTTATTTGTAGATAGGCCTTGGTTAAACGTCTCAGTAGCTTTGCCAATAGTCCTAAAGAAACAGCTTGGCTTGGATTTTGAAATAAAGCGAAACAGCGATTATGCTGATCACTTCGCCACACACTGTCGAGTCATTGATTCTCGGTCTATGGGCTGCAATCTCCATACATCGCCACTGATTAGAGGCTGCTCAGAATTTAACTTACTCTGAAAGGCATTCTGTCTGCCAAGAAGGGCAAACAGAGATGTAAAGACATAGATGTATAGGTGTGCTATAATGCATGGGCTAAATCACTCTCACACAGGCTCAGAGAGACATGTGCACTCAGTCAGGGAGGCACACGGGCCTGCAGTAAATGCACACAGAAAGATACACAAAACATGCACACACGCTTACATGCATGCACACTCAAAGAGGCTCTCTAATGTGATGTGCGGAGACAGGCTGTCTGCCCTCCTTAAAGGCTACTCCACAGTAAAACTGCACTCTCTGCTGCGTCTACAACACGCCTCCATATGGCCTGTGAAAAATTCAAGCTGAAGATTACAATTTTGACGAACATCCAAGCGTTCTCTCCTGGTTTATTTCACTGGTTGAGAAATGAAGCGTGTGTGTTTATGTTGTGTTTTTCTCCATGTATAAGAGAGTGAAAAAGAGGAATAAATTGTTAAAATAAAGTAATTATAAAGAGTAGGACAGATAATAGATAGCAAATGATCATCATTGAGTCTCTTACAATACTAAAATTAACTCTAGGTATCCCTAATGTTCATTTTGGAGCTCATGATTTACTTCAAATGAATGTGCGGTGTCTTTCTGTGGCTATTTCATGCACATGAGAATAAGTGGCATCGTAATCTTTTTTGGAAAAATGCTTTTCGCTTCATGGCTGTGACATTTGAATAAAGAAATAGTTTTCCAGAAAAAAGCGTGATAAATGAACTATTACTCTCCTCATAAGTCAGCAAATACATTCAGTACATCATTGACTCCTGCCTACATATTTATTTATTTATTTATTATCTAAAATCAGTTTTCATTGTCTAGTGGCAAGATCAGTGACTGCTATTGACACAACGAAGCAGTTCATATGAACAGTTTGAACAGAAGTTGCTCTCATTGAGTGAAGAGCATGACGGGAGATAAGAATTAGAGCTAGGGTGTTAAGGTCCCCGTAAAATGGCAGTTAGAGCATGGGACTATGGGACTATGGTACAATATGGAGAGGGATTTGATTTGATCACAGTAAAGTGAGTGTGACTTTTACAGCATGGAGTCTTTTGGGAACCACATTTGTCACAGGAGACCACCTGCTGTAGAGGACCGCTGCGTCCATACACACCTCCCCCACACAGGTTGCTAGATCAGGTGGCACGGACTGAAACAAGAAATTATGAATTAGACCCTAGCAACATACCTATTGTTTAATATTAAACTTAAATAGTAAGCCAGTGGTTCCCAACCTTTACAGCTTGTGACACCTAAGTAGTGTGCATTTCCACCAAATAATTATTTAGAGAGAGTTCCCCTCAACATAATAATTACATTTAGCCAAAAGTACAAAAAACTAATTTGTGTACCCTTTGTAGGAGCCGGACGCCCCGGGAGAGAATGCTAAATAATGTAGAAACCCAAAAATGTTCAAGTTCCACACTAAGTCAAAGCAAAACACAACGGTAGGAGACTGTCCAAATTGTAACAGACACGATGAGGGATCATGGGTAATTTTGAGGCTATGGTAATGTTGTACACATTGTTAGGCACATTTGCCATGAAGAGCTAGCAAATCAATGACTTGACTTGACTTGATGGGGAATTGAGGTAGTTCCGAGACCTCTTGTAGTTCAAACAGGTCATGGTAGGATTAAACATTACCATTTGGCTGATCATCAAATTAAAATGAAGTTACATTTTGTCACACTGGTTTCCCCCAAGGACGCATGATCTTTGTCCCACTGCCTTACAGCAATCAAGATACCTGTTAATTATGATCAAACCATTTGTTCGTCATTATGGGTATTATATAGCCCCTGGCTCTCTTTCTGTCTCATCTTTTCTCCCTCGCTGCACTTCAATAGGTGTTGACAAATTCCAAGGAAACACATTTGCATAAACTCACCTTCTCCAATCAGTGTGTCCTTGGTAACGCATGTGTTGTTTTAACCATGATGAATTCAGTTATTAAGGGGCTAGGAGAGTATTTGATGACTGGCTACAAGCACTCTGGCCTTTTGTAGTCTATCACAGGATAATCTTCTGTGTTTATTACTCGTCAGACATGTTTCCACCGCATTTTCAAGGGATGTGGAGAGGAGATATATATTCTCTAATGTCTGTCAAGCAGATGTTTCCTGAAATATTTAACAAGAGACTCACAATGCACTCAAATATTATTTCTACCAAGGGGGAGTGTGTTTATAGCTGTTATTTTCCCCCAAGTGCAGAAAATGAATATCTATGAAAGTAGAAAGGTGATGCCA